AATTTGGTAAATTTTAATGATTTGAAATTTATTATATTGATCATTAGCCAATAGTTAAATAAAAGAAATTGAATTAAACATAATCAAGGTAAAAACACTTTATTAACTGGTAACGTTGTTGATCAGTTTAATGTTTTTTGTCGATATATTGTACTTGTGATGTTAATAATACTTTTTGTTAAAGTTAAGATGATATTATTTTAATTATTTGCTTAATATATTTTTAGATTTTAAATGTTTTCAAATTGGTTTGAATGTAGTACATAAAGGTTTAAAAACAGAAATAAAAAAGTTAGGCTGTCTAAATAAAATACAATTTTAATAAAATTATGTGTAGAAAATTTAAAATTGTGTGATTGCTTGCTTACAAGATCCCCTTAATCTATTAGCTAAGCGCATTTATCGATACAAGTTTAACGAATAGATAACAAGATTAGAGAAATCAAGTTTAATGAATAGATTTACGGCTATCTAAAACACAGGCCAATTAATCGTGCAAACCGTAAAAATAACTGGAAGCCAATTAACTAAGAAAAAAGGTTATTATCGTTGTTTAAAATTAGAAGAAAAAATATTTCTTGAGGCTTATTATGCCTTTAAAGTGAAAAGTGTTGCAAATCGCTCTACTAATTATTTAACAGATAAAAAAAAGTGTGCTGTTTACAGATTACCAAAAGATCCAGAAGAAAGTAGAAAGTGGCCAAGAAGCAACATTCCTGAAAGCAAATACCCTTATATGTTTTGAACATTGGCCTGTAAGTTTCGAAAAAATAAATGTTTATAAGCAAAAATGTTAATGTAACACATAAATAAAACTTTTTGTCTTAGTCAGCTTAAAGCACCTCATGATGAAGAAAATCATGGAAATTTGGCTTTGGTACAGCTCTTGGCTTTCTATTGTACCAAACACTGACGGTAATGGACAAAGCATGTTCGATCTCTTAAATTTGACGCTAAAGCGGCGTGGCTTTAATTTGCAATACTGCCTATCGGACACCACTTATGGTGTTTCAAGTTATCATGACCAGTACAACGGACTGTAACAAAAGATTACAGAAGCACCATGCTGCAGACCACCATGTACATATTTGGTGTTATGCTCATGTTCTCAACTTAGTTGTGAAGGAGGCAAACAGTTGCTGCATTCAGGCAGTTTCATTTTTTAACCTTTAGCAAAATGTTTCAACATTCATAAAACTGTCATATAAGCGAATGGCGACTTGGATTAAACTTGTTGAAACACACATTGGAATGGATAAGATAAAAAGATTGAAATTGATTGGTCGGGTAAAACAAATGCTGCAACGGCGATATTTGGAACATTTGCTGCGCCGTCTTCAACAGTGTTTGTCAATTTAATTTTTTGTCCGTCATTTATAAGCGAATCAAAAAATTTTGATGCAAAAACACGTCATGAAGCTAAGACATTCCTCATGCCATTCCTGAAATTCGATACCATTTTGACTGCCTTTACATACCTGCACATTTTTGAAAAAGTGGGATCACTTTCAATATACCTGCAACTCGTGGATTAAATGTGTTGGTTGCATTCAAGATGGTGGATAAGGCTGCAATTGAATTGAAAAGTCAATCAAGATTTTTTGATGATGTTCATAATAACGCTCTTCAATTTGTACGGATAGCAAACGCAAGCATCATCCAGAAAACTGAAACCATATTAGAGGTGAAGACAGAACTAGCTGTTAAACGGAAGCGGAAGACACAAATGATGTTAGATGATCATACATGACGAATATAAAGCTTTGGAACCCTACAGTATTCCCACTTACAACGCGGTGATGGATCAGGTAGTCCTAAGTCTTGAGTCACGTTTTACTTCACTTTGACAATTATATATGGACATGACATATTTTGATACAACAGTTTACCCAGCATTATCAAATTTTTACCAGATGCCGATGTTGATAAAATAAAGGCCAAGCTGTTGTCATTTGTGATTAACTATGAGATTTTGAAATTATCTTGGCCATTAACGACAACATTAAGAGAGAATGCAGATCAAAAGGATGATCCAGATTAACCGCGTTGTTATAAAAATACTAATAAAGCATGTGGATCGTGTCGATCTTATGTGTTACAATTTCTTGCTGCATATAGACTCAACGATAAAACCTATGACAATTTGTATCATAATTACAAAAAAATATATACTAATTTTGTAACACAAACCAAAGGTGAAAAATCGTTTTCTAATTTAAAGTTAATCAAGATAAGATTGCGAATGTCCACTTAGAGTTGTATACGTTGACGTCTTTAGAAAAAAGTCTACTTGATAGCCTTGAGTGTCATACAATCATTCAAAGATATGCATCTTCGTCCTCTAAATTGTGCAAACTGTTATTAAGAATAGTTATTGCTATACTTTGCACTGTGAAAATTGCACATCACTTGTACTTTTTTAATTCAATCTAATTTTATTATTCTGTGATTTAATTGTTTCTCTCATGACTTATTTTTTGAAAATTGCGGACCGGGCAGTCTTTGTAATATATATACAGCCAGTCCGCTACTAGTGTCATGTGTAGAGTAAAGCTGAGAAAAGTCTGAGATAACTTGGGGCTACTTTGACATGTGGATAGCATTGACTTTTATTAGATTAAATATTTTTACCTGTTGACTATTGTTTAATTATTTTACCATATGCTATGTTTATTTGATATGTTACCATACCAAATAAACGAACATAACTATTTTTACTTGTATTTTAGTATAAATAAAAGCATGATTAATAAATTAATTACATTTAACTGTGGGCATAAATTAAAATAATTTCTTGCTTTTTTAGTAAACATTAGGATATGGATATTGAATGCCAAAACGCCCCCAAAAATACTCTAATTTTTTCAATAATGGTGCGCTGAATCATTTCAGGTACACATAGAAACGTAATCTTACAAATTTAACAAAATCCTTTGACAAAGTCCAAAGCTATGGAATCAATGAGGAACTTTGCGCATCGATCAAAGCATGGCTATTAGGAAGATAACAGACAGTCATAACCAGAGAACATGCCATTGGGAAAATGTTGCCACCAATGACCATAACGTACGCTGCTAGTAATATTTTTGTTGCAATGTTCCATTACATTACAAGGCCATTACAAATAGTAATAATCTTAAAACCGACAAACCTGTTCGGTTTTAAGACCATTACTGTTTGTTTTGATATTCCAAACAAATTTAAACATCAGATCAAGTTTTACAATAATGATAATGCAGTCATAAAGTTATTCCTGGACGCGGGTTTCATGCAAGCAGACATTCCAAGCCCTTCAAATCAAGAAGTATAATAAGATATGACTATGCCGGGTCTATGCATCTATGCGGTCTATGCATCATATATGCAATTTTTTTCTATTAAATATGAAAAAGCTATGAAAGATCATAGAGTATGAATGAGCCAACCATTATCTTTGGAGAAATTGATTTCATAAAACCTAAAGAAAGATTTAACAACTCGTTAAAAAACTATGATCATATCCATTTTACTATTTTACACTCATTATGTCTAAATTTGTTATCAATTTATAAATTTAAGTTACAAATCAAAAATTGATTTACACAGACCAAAAATTTTACCAAATATTTTGGTCCGTTTTCAAAACTGCAATATTTGTGCGAAATTTTTGAAATATTATCACGGATCATTTTTTTCAAGGTGGACCAAAATTATCGCAAAAATTTATCCGGCCGGACCAAAAATTTCAACGAAAATATTGGTCCGGGATAAAAATTTTCGCGGACCAAAATTCCAGCGACAGATCTAAACACAACCCTGTGAACTGCATATGCTTCAGCAATAGCTTGTCCAAGAAAAAAAGGAGCTAAAAAAATAATAAAATTGATAAACTTTTTGATATACTAGTATGCAAATGTCCAATTGTAAAATGTGATGATTTTATTTGTTCTAATGATTGTGATAAAGAAGTTCATTGTAAATGCAAATGTATAAAAGAGTACAAAATACCATCTATTGACGTTAAGTTTATATATTTTCAAAGAATTAAAACTGGAACTGTTAGCAAGTTTCAAATTGAATTATCTGATAGTATTGAAACCAGGAAACAGTTCAAAAGATTACTTAGAAAAGATCGAGAAAAATATTTTGAGAATAAAGACAGCAATGTTATTTTAACTTAAAAACAAAAAATTGAGTCAGATCAGATAAACTTTCAAAAGGAAAGTGATTTTAGTAATGAAATAGAATTAAATGATAACATTGATGATATTACTAATGTAGAATTACCTCTGGTACTTGAGAAATCATCAGGAAAAAAAAAGTGTTGCAATACCTTAGATATTTCACACATAGCTATGAATAGCGTAAGGTATAGTTCTTTTTAAATAAATTTGTTTTTTAGTAATGTATTTATCCTTATAAATGTATATATATATATATATATATATATATATATATATATATATATATATATATATATATATATATATATATATATATATATATATATATAATATATATATATATATATATATATATATATATATATATATATATATATATATATATATATATATATATATATATATATATTTTAGTCAATGATGATTTTTTATTTAAAAGTAATTCTACTTCTATGTAAATTTTGCTCACATAGATATGGGGTATCTGCACGTGCTACAGCTGCAATTGGTACAGCAACACTAATTGATGCAGGATTAATAACATCTGATGATAAAAAGTTAATTATTGACCATAGTAAAGTTTCGAGAGCGCAAGAATCTCTGATCTTAGTAAGGATTTTGACAAAATAGCAAAAAATGGAGAAGTGATTGAACTTGATGACTCAAATGCAAAATTTCCAGTAACAGTGAAAGAAGAACATTACTCTGTTTGTATGGAACCTGGAGGAAAATATTTGTTTCACTTTACTTCTGAGAAAGCAACAAAAAGTGTTAAACATGCAGAGATTATAGCAAATAAAATTGTTGAATGGCTGACTGAGAGAGGTATGATTGTGATAAAAGGTTGAATTGTGATATGAGGTAATGATTGTGATAAAGAAGTTCATTGTAAATGCAAATGTATAAAAGAGTACAAAATACCATCTATTGACGTTAAGTTTATATATTTTCAAAGAATTAAAACTGGAACTGTTAGCAAGTTTCAAATTGAATTATCTGATAGTATTGAAACCAGGAAACAGTTCAAAAGATTACTTAGAAAAGATCGAGAAAAATATTTTGAGAATAAAGACAGCAATGTTATTTTAACTTAAAAACAAAAAATTGAGTCAGATCAGATAAACTTTCAAAAGGAAAGTGATTTTAGTAATGAAATAGAATTAAATGATAACATTGATGATATTACTAATGTAGAATTACCTCTGGTACTTGAGAAATCATCAGGAAAAAAAAAGTGTTGCAATACCTTAGATATTTCACACATAGCTATGAATAGCGTAAGGTATAGTTCTTTTTAAATAAATTTGTTTTTTAGTAATGTATTTATCCTTATAAATGTATATATATATATATATATATATATATATATATATATATATATATATATATATATATATATATATATATATATATATATATATATATATATATATATATATATATATATATATATATATATATAATATATATATATATATATATATATATATATATATATATATATATATATATATATATATATATATATATATATATATATATATATATATATATTTTAGTCAATGATGATTTTTTATTTAAAAGTAATTCTACTTCTATGTAAATTTTGCTCACATAGATATGGGGTATCTGCACGTGCTACAGCTGCAATTGGTACAGCAACACTAATTGATGCAGGATTAATAACATCTGATGATAAAAAGTTAATTATTGACCATAGTAAAGTTTCGAGAGCGCAAGAATCTCTGATCTTAGTAAGGATTTTGACAAAATAGCAAAAAATGGAGAAGTGATTGAACTTGATGACTCAAATGCAAAATTTCCAGTAACAGTGAAAGAAGAACATTACTCTGTTTGTATGGAACCTGGAGGAAAATATTTGTTTCACTTTACTTCTGAGAAAGCAACAAAAAGTGTTAAACATGCAGAGATTATAGCAAATAAAATTGTTGAATGGCTGACTGAGAGAGGTATTGACAAGTCTTTACTGGCTGTTGGTGGAGACTCTACAAATGTAAACACCGGTTGAGAGGGTGCAGTCATCAAATATATAGAAATAAAATTAGGAAAAAAACTTGTTTGGCTTATATGTCAACTCCGTACGAATGAGTTGCCACTGAGACATCTTATAACCAATTTAGATGGTCAAACAAAATCAAACAATAACTGGTCTGGTGTTATTGGTTCCATGCTTGATCATGCTACAGATCTAGATACAAATCCAGTATTTGAAACTATTAAAATTGGCAATCCACTTATTTCTCTCGATGATAAAATAATAAATGACCTGTCTGCAGATCAATTTTATGGTTATAAAGTTGTTTGTGCCATTGAAGTGGTATTTTACCACCAAAATTTCATTTATTACAAATTGGGCCTGTTTCACATTCAAGATGGTTAACTACTGCTAACAGAATATGTAGAATATGGATCTCTAAACATGGAATTCAAGGTAAAGATTTAGAAAATTTAAGATCTATCACTGAGTACATTGTAGGTGTTTATTTTCCTTGTTGGTTTAAGATTAAAGTTGAACATTCTTGGATTGAAGGTCCTAAGCATGTACTTTACCAACTGCAGCAACTTAAATTTCAAAAAAGAAGATGTCATTAAAATAGTATCACCCTCTATTCAAAGATCAGCTTGGTTTTGTTTCAGTGAGTGTATACTACAAACATTGTTGTGTTCTAATACTGAAGAGGATAGAAGTGTAGCTGTCAATAAGATAAAAGATATTAGAGGTACTGGAAATGAAGATCTACAAAAAAGTGATTCCTCTCCCAGACCAAGAAAAACGCCTGTTCTGAACTTTAATGCTGAAAAATTGGTAGATCTAATATCATAGAAGTCACCGGTTTATGAACCAGTCTTAACTACCTCTCTAACAACTTCTGAAATTAATGTGTTTTTATCAAATCCTATGCAAGTGCCGATTTGGCCATGTCATGGACAATCTGTTAAACGTTGCGTAAAGCAAGTTACAGAAGCTTCAAGTAGAGTGTACACTCATGAAAAGAGAGAAGGATTTGTCCGAACTCAAGAGGCGAGTAGAAAGTTAATGCCTAAAAATAATAGTAAACAAGACCTTGAAAGTTTGACACAAATGTTTTTGTATTAAATTTATAATATTTATTGAAATAATTCGGTTTTTTTTTTTTTATATCTTGCGGTATTTCTAACATCAATACCAATAAAATTAAAATTAAAATTATTAATTTTAATAAAATAAAATTATTACGTGATGTTAAGGCAAACTGTATTTAAAATACATTGAAAAATATTTTAATATATATAAATTAATCTCAATCTAATTTCAGTTTGAAATTAATATGCATATTAAAAATTAATTTCAAAGTCTAATTTTGAAATAAGAAAGATTTCATTTATGTTTTATACAAATTCTTAAAGAAAGTAGTATAATATCTAAAATTAGTTTTAATCAACATTTATATTTCAACTGATATTTATCAAACAAAGTAGAAAAAAAGCTTATTAATTTCCAAGTAAAAACCGGGTTTTTTTGAGAAACCAGGTCAAAATTTTATTGAAATATAAAAAGTTAAATCACCTAAGCAAAAAATTTTTTAATTGAATTTTTAAAAACATATTTGGATTCTCCATCAAATTTTGCAACTTTTAGTAACTCCCCAAATTTTTACTCGAAAAAAATCAAAAATCGACACACCCTACTATGCGAGGTATAATTTTTAGCGTCATTTTTCTGAATAATTTATTAAAGTAAACCGACGTTTTTCCGATAATTACGCTTTTTTAACTACTTTTTTTAAAAAGTGCAATTACCTACAAAACTTTATTTTTTTAAATTAATGCATTTTAGTTAATCAGAAATAGCCCATCTGTTTTAAAATGTTAAATTTGATACGTGAGCGCTTTTTAATAAGAACTTATTATTAATAAAACTTAGACGTCAAAAATCATATTTTTGTAAAAAAGTGATATTAAGTTTGCAAGAATAAATAATGCAAAGTGAAACGAGTTTTCTAGATGTTGTAGGTAAAACTGTAGATCATATATAGATCGAACTATAGATTACTTGTGGTCTCTATTCCCTACACTTAGTTTTCACTATTATTTTAAGTATTTAAATTTCTCATTTTTGTCAGAAAATTCTGTCTCATTTACAATTTTGTTTTGATATTTTTCTGGGATTAACTTTTTTTTCCACGTAAAGATTTCGCTTGAGTTTATAGAACATATAATGAAAAGGTTTTATTAATTTAAAAACTTTTTTAGAATTTTTAGGTGTTATGGATTTTAGGCGTTATGGATAATGTTTAAATATTTCTTAGGCTAATCGAGACTATCGTTATTTTGACGCAAAATCAAGTAAAAATATTCTCAATTTAAAAAAAGTTAACATCTGTTTTCTATTGTTTTGCTATCGTTATTTGTAACAATGAATAACGCGGATATCTTGGCTTTTAAACAATACGTTAAACGTCCATCTGTTAATACGTCCTTGATTGCACAAACAAAAGGTTTAAAAATTTATTTGCCTAATTCCGCCATAAAAACAGCTTAGTTGTATGAATTTGTTAAGATAGGGTTCCCACAGTCCTGGAAAGTCCTGGAATTGGACTTTTGTCCTGGAAAGTCCTGGAATTTTTCATTTTGTCTCTAAAATCCTGGAAATGTCCTGGAATTTTTTAAAAGTCGAGGATTTAAATTTCAAAATTTTTATTCTTTTTTTAAAGTAACATGGGCTACATTTTTAAATATTTTAAACTAAATTTTTTAGAGGTTAAATTTTATAGTTCTGATTTGTATAATATTATAATGGAGAATATAATCTCTCTCACCGATGTAAACATGTTTTGATTTAGATAAATATTTCAAAATAAAAAGCATAGTACACAGCTGGTTGCTTCTACTTAATATATCTGTAAAAATGCTTGACAAGATCAGAATTATATGACTGATTGAGTATTTTTTGTATTTTTATTTTTAAATCTTTTAAATGTTTACAGTGTAGTTTAAATTGCAGTCAGTTTTTAAAATTTTGTTTAGATTTTTTCAAAATGTTTTTTCTTTCAGTATAATAAATTTAAAAAATGCCTAAAAATGAGTGCGTATTTTAAGAAAAATGGTTACACGATGATCAATTTAAATCCTGGGTTCGGAAGATAAATGAAACAATGGCTAAGTGCATCTATTGCTTTAATAAAATCAATATTTCTAACATGGGAGAGGCTTCATTAACATCGCATATGAGAAGCAAAAGGCATTTACAAAGAAAACCTGTAGAGCAAACCATCAAATCTTATTTATCATCTTTAACTTTCCCACCTTATATTCTAGAAACTTGTTCTGAAGCTATATCACAATCAAGCAAATCAAAAATAATTGATCAATTGTTTACAGGATCTTTAACACTTGAAGCTGAGATACGCTGGGTTTTAAATACTCTTTACTCTAGGCATTCTATGAATACCTTATCAAATTCTAAAGAATTATTCAGAAAAATGTTCCCTGATACAATATTGCAAAGACATTTCAATGTGGTCGAACAAAGGCCGGGTATGTGGCTAGATATGGACTTGCTCCATATTTTCGAAGTGAGCTGTTAGTGACACTTTCAGCTGCTCCATATTACACTATTTCATTTGACGAATCACTTAATCAGATATTTCAAAAGGGACAAATGGATCTTTTAGTCAGGTTTTGGAACGAAAAATCTGACAGCGTTAATACTCGATACCTTAATTCAGGGTTTATGGGGCGCTCCACTGCTGAAGATGTTTTAAATACATTCCTCAGTGGTGTATCCGAAATTGACAAAGCTAAGATTTTACAAGTGTCTTCCGATGGTCCCAATGTAAACTTGTTATTTCTTCAAAATTTCAGTGAACAAAAGCAAGAGGAAGAACTAAATCCTCTTATTGATATAGGAACATGTGGTCTTCACACCATTCACGGAATGAATTTTGCACCAGCTTTCAAGCTGGTGCAAAAGCAAGTGGCTGGGAAATAAATAATGCTTTGAAATCGATGTAACAATTCTTACACGATTCACCCACACGACAAGAAACTTATGAAAATATTGCTGAAACACTAGAATATCCACACATTTTTGTGGTGTAAAAATGAAAACTGTGCACGAAAAGCTGAATCTCTTCTTGATGGTTACAAAAAATTTGTAACACACGTTAGTAGTCTAAAAAAAAGCAAACTACCTGATGTCAATAATAAAAGTTAGCAGAGACTAAAAGCTATGATATATGATCCAATTTTACCAGCAAAATTGAAATTTTTTTAAATGGTATCTGAGAAGTTAAATGCTTTTCTAAGAGGTTTTCAAACAGATAAACCCATGGTACCATTTATGAGTACTATTTCTGGTGATATTATTAAAGACTTATTGAGCCGATTTATTCTTAAAGATGTCTTAAAGAAATGCGGTGCACTTTATCAGCTGCTTCAACTTGATCTAAACGATAAGAATATTCGAAAGCCTCCAGCAGACATTAATATTGGATTTGCTTCTCGTTTAAAACTTGACCAAGCCAATCTAAGTTCTACCGATAACAGAGTAGTTGCATTTAAAAGTGAAGCTGGAGAATTTTTAGCAGTTTTGTTGGCACATCTTTTTGACAAGTCCCCATTAAAGTTTTCCATTGTACGCTCTGCTATATCTGTAAATCCAATCGAAATGGCCAATGATAGCAAACGAAGTAAGTGTGTCAAAAGTTTTTCTGTTCTTTTACAAAAATTAGTAAATTGCAATCGTCTCTCAACAAAGCCTGCGGAGCTTGCAAAAGAACAATACAAAAAACTATTTGAAATCGTTGACATCAATAAAAGTGCATTTCAAAATTTTGACCTTAAAAATGATCGACTTGACCAATTTTACTCTGACTTCATTGGGAAAAATACAGCTTATGAAGAAGTTTGGAAGGTTTTTAAATTAGTCTTTGTGCTCTCGCATGGTCAGTCATCAATAGAACGTGGTTTTAGTATAAAAAAGCAACTTCTGGTTCAAAACCTGAAGGAGAAATTACTTGTTGCTTTACGTGTCATTGAGGACCACCTTCATCTTCGGGAGAAACTCCTGAAAGCATCAAAATTACAAAAGAAATGCAGCAAAATGCTAGAAAAGCAAGCAGCTCATACCATGAAGACTTAAGAAAGCAAAAATTAAAAAAAGAAAGTGACAATGTGGCGTTAAAACGAAAGATTGTTGATGATGAGTTAAAAGCTGTTTGGGCAAAACGGCGACTACTTCAAAGTCAAATTGAGTTGTTATCTAACGAGTCGGACAAACTTGCCATTGATGCAGAAAAGAAAAGTGATTTTACACTTTTAAAAGAGTCAAATAAACAAAAAAAGTTATGTAAAGCATAGCAGAAGGAAATTGACGAGTTAGATTTGATTGAAAAAAAGCTGAATAAGAACTAAATAGTATTTACCATCTGGCATTATTCTTTAATGATATTTTGTTATCATTATATTAAAATCTTAAGAAAATACGCTAATTTTATATTTTGAAAACTTACTGATGCATTTCGGTACTTTTAATGTATTTTGATATTTCTAAAATTATTTTTTTTTACAATAATGAAGCACAATAATTTAAAATGTTTTATCAATGAAAACTTTTTGAGAAAAATAATTTTTACCTGAGATATATAGCCTCGCCATAACTGTCCCGTTATGCCCCACTGTCGGGCATGCCCCGCTCTACCCTAATTTCAATGAACACGCATTATTCCAAATTACCTGCAGTTTGATACATCTTTCAAAAATGAAAATAGGGTAAATATATTGCGACGTTGTAATTATCTTGTTCTATCTCCACATTTTTTAGTTTTGAGATAAAACGATTTAAAATAAAAAATCTTTAGGAGACGGCGTATAAATTTTCTTTTATAACTTATGTTTTTTCCGCAACTTTTTTACTTATAACTTAGGTTTCAATTCAGTAGAAAGACATTATTTTAAGGAACACAACAGTATCATTAACTCAATTTTTTCAGAAAGTGGAGATAGAACAAGATAATTCTAACGTCACGACATATTAGATTTTTTTATTCAATTGATCACAAAATTCTGTTTAAAAAGGTACAGTTTAGTAGTTTTGAAAATGTCTTAATGGTGTTTAAAAGTTAATTAAAAACCAAAAAGAGTTTATTTACAGTG